CAGGGGAAGCTTCTGGCAGCTCCTCACAGAAACCACCCCTGTAAGCCACCCCCCCAAACCTGGCCACGCAAACCCAGTACAAAGCTCTAGGTAATCTTTTACATCTAAGGCCATGATAAGATTAGAACAGCGCTTGCTTCAAAATACTAGTTTCTCCACTTAAAGCTTTTGTGTGAATGGCATTCTCCTATTTAAAAAAGGAAGCACTTCGATAGCTTCAGCGTGACGAAGCATCGCAGATGAAGCGTCGGTGCAGCGTAGCACCTGAACTGCAACCTGCCCAACGTTTGACCTGAGGTACTGGAGAGCTCAGTCCCTCTAACTCACCCAGTCTCCTCCATTGAGACGGCGAACAAAGTGCTCGCAGCAGAGTTTGAACGAGCGTTGTGGCCACTCAAGGCTGAAACGACCATATCCAGTTGCTCCATGCCTAGCATGGCCTCTGAGGCAAGCTGAAGCATTAACTGGAGGTTTTAATTTTACAAAGTCTGAGTTCATACATACCTATACACATTGCAAGAAGTGCCACTGTCTTCCAGTGTGTTACAAAGTTAAAGACACAGATCCTTCTTTTTGGACTGGCCTTATATTTAGACTATTGAATTACCAGTCACATTTGTATATTTATTTAGTTGTCTATGTTTTTATAATTTCTTTCCCCTCACAGTCCAGCAATATCAGAAGGTATTTTAGGCTTCCTCTAAGCGTCCCTGGGAGTAATGAGACCTGCATATTGACTGGAGGTCTAGCAGATTTCTTTGGGACTTTCTGGTGGTGGGCGGCTGCAGTTTTGAATGGAGTAAATCTGAGTGCGTCTGAATAGTGGTGGTTTTGATGGGAAATGTCTCCAGAAGGGCCAGGTCTTGAAGAGTGTTCTAAAATGGCTCAGTTATTTAATACTTCCCAGAAGCCTGCCCCAAAGCCAGACCCCTGTGATTGTGCTTGATTCTTTTCAGCTGTTTCTTAAGCTTTGGGATTTATATTTTAGGAAAAGGCTTCTTAACAATGCTCAGCTGCAACATGGCTAGAAGTAGCTTACTGTCTGTTAATTATCTGCAGCGCCAGGACTACGACTTGGCAGAAACTGTATTGAAGGAATTGTGCTGCAGGAATGAAGTACTTGTACTTCAGATAAAGCTTTATTCCCTAATATGAAGGATGCTGATGTTGCTGTAGAGATTAGTAGGTTTCTGGTGATCCATGTATCAAATGACACTTACAGGATAGAAATTATTTTATTATTTTATGTTTTATGAAGTATTAATGTGAATTTATATGGATATATGTAATTATTTACATTAAGAATGTTGCTTCACTGATATTACAATGCAGTTGTTCCACTGTAAGCTTAGGTGTCTAAAATATAAGCATGTGAGTTAGGTGTCTGTTGCTCTTCTGGTGTTCAGAGGGAATTTAATTGACTATTTCAGATGCTGCTTTTAGGATAAGTAAATTTCTCTTGTTTTATGCAATAGAGTCCCCCATGACTATAAGGAAGTAACTACCATAACTGGTTCAAACTTAATGAAAACCTTAATTTGGGTGAACACCATTCTTAAAGAATATTTAACTAGTCAGATGTACTTGTAGCAAAATATTCTGTAGAACTGTAGTGAATCATTGCACTGCAGACTTACTGGGGTTTTTTTTCCCTCCAAAGATATCACTTCAATTTTTCCAAATTATTCAGCTCAAGGTCAAAAAACACTGGCTTTACAGAGAAGACACCACTACTGAAGGTTTCCTCAGAGGAAAACGGGTGAGTTACTTTCATTTTACTAGAAATATATATATATTTTTTAAGTTCCTTTCTATTTAATTGTGCATGGTTCATTCTTATATCCTGACACCAAACCTGCTGGGAAATAAAGTGAATGCCAGGGGTTGTGAGCAGAGAATTACTCTGGAGGACCTTGAGTGGAAAGAAGGGGCTGTAAATGGGGAAGGGAAGGATGTAAGGTCTGAGGTCAGGGTGATTAGATAGCCCTAAGGATAGGTAACTGTGGATTGTGTGCTCCTATTTCCTCAATGTGATGTTACATCAGGTGCACTGAAAGACACAGCAGTTTACACACCAAATCCTGAGGTACATCCACCTGGTGCATCAGAGGGCTGGTTCTCCCAGGTGCTCCTAAATGTCCTGGAGTCTTTGTTCTTGCTCTGCAGTCTACCCAGCTGGGTCACCAACGGGAGCTCAGTCTGTACTGAATAAATCTCTTTCTATGAATTTCTCTATTAAAGTCTCTCACAGTGAACCTAAGGATACGCAAGGTCAGCTGCATCTACTACCTGGTGAAATAAACCACTGTTTTGTTTTATTATGTTCACTGAAAATGTGTGACAGGTTGCAGTGCATGGCTCTTCATAATCCAGATTTTACCACAGATGACGATTCATGGGACAACAGTTCTGCAGAGTTTGAGCAAAGGTTTCAACTGGGAACTGAAATGACAAGTTTGTCCAGATCTGCTTCTTCTGAGAAATATGAAATCTTGGACAGCCTTCATGTCAAGTTCAATTTAACAAAGATGAGGTCTGAATTCAAACATTCATTTATTTATTTTTCCTTTTTTTTTTAATTTCTTCAGGGATTAATTTTTAAGTATAGATGTCTAGAAAATGATTTATTTTCTGCAAATGAATAAAATTACACTCCATATTTGGGACATATCTTGCCATTGATACTTTATAAATAAACCCTGGTGAAACTGATTACAGCCTCTACCCAATGATCAATAGCCCCTTGTTCTTAGAAGCATCAATCATAGCACCTATTCTAAATTTGTAATTAAATACTTCCTATAGAGCTTTTAACATTTCTTTGAAACCATTTCTTAATGCCCCTTGGTTGATTCCACATCTCTATTCTTCAGTGTTTTGTTGCTTTTATGAAATACTTCACTTTAATTAAAATATGTATTTAACAGGAATATATATCTAACAGGAATTTGTGTATCTATCACAAATTTCTGTACTCATTATGGTAGCTTTTCCATATACAAAATGCCAAATCTAACTGAGCATTTTTCTATCTTTAAGTGCGTTAATATATTTCACTCTTTACCTCAAAGTACTCTTTTACCTCATTTACACATGGAGGAAGTTGAATCTGTTAATATATTAAAAGATATCAATATGATAAGTTCAAATTTTCTCAGATATTTTTGCCTGGGATTTAACTAGTAAACGCTTTAATCTTTGGATACTATTCTCTCTGCTCCTTCAAGAGACTCAACACTTTTTACTAGTTTGGTTTGTCTTCTGTAAATAGCTCTGCAGGTTTGCATAGAGCCTAGCACTGGATGTCCGCATCTCTGTGTTGATCCGCAGAGCCTTTCCAAGGAGATATCCGTGCATCTTTTCCCAATCTGTATGTTGTCTTAGCTCATCACTTCACACTTGTTTTCCTCCTTTCATTGTGCATATGGTGTTGTGTGGGGTGCCGCTCTTCTGCACTGCTGCTGAACAAATGGAGCAGGGGAATTTCAATGGCTGCAATTAGTGCAATATAAGCAGATGTGAAGAAGTTTGGCAGGCGTCTGTCTTCACGCTTGCGGTAGCTTTCCCCGGTATTTGATGGAAAAAAGGCATTGAGCAGGAAT